TCTCCCATCTGTCTCACCTTGCTGTCCTCTGCAGGCTCACGTTATGAGGAAGCTAAATCCCACCCACGTGGGAGCTGAAAGGGAGCAACCAACCCCCCAGAGAAGGACCAGAGACCAGCTGGCAGGAGGCTGAAGTCTGGCTAAAAGTGCAAAGCAAGTCGGTGAGGGGCGAAGAACCGGTGGGAGGAGATGAGGAGCTGGCAGGGCAGGGGCCTCGCTGAAAGCCACCTTGCCCAAGGGTAGGTCCTTCTGGGATCTGGGAAAGAACTGAGGGAAAGGAGCTGCCAGGACATGGTCTCTTTTTGACAGGCAGATAAGGGGGGGTGCAGAAATGAGAAACACTTTGCTGCTCATGTTTAGTCTGCCCACTGAACCTAAGGAGAGCTGCTGGGTGCACACAAGGTGCAAGTGCCCTCACAAAACAGGCAGACAGTGTCTCACAGCACGAGCGCTCTGCACAGAGAAGCTCCAGCCTTCCACCAGTGTCCCAGTCCATCAATCCCAGACCCTCTTACCTCCAGCACAGAAAAGGCAGGCAACCAGCTGAACTACGCTCCCACCCCAGGGCTGGCAACTCATAAGCATCGCCGTGCACGTCATCGATTTGAACTGGACCTCGGTGCCAACCAGAACTGGGAGAGCATCCAAAAATCCCATCATTTATTTTCACCCCAGGACACCCGTTTCCTTGCAGCCCCCAGCGCCATCCCCGTGGCACGGAGGTGGCTTTCTGTGTACAAAGTAAGGCCAAGAGATGGCTGCCCACGCGGAAGCGTGCGTCCCGTCCCCGGACACCGCGGCAAGAAGTGGTGCTGCAGAGGAACAGAAATCAGAGAAACCACACTTGGAAAAGAGCGATACCAAACGCTTTAATGCGGGAGCCGTGGGACACGCAGCACGTAGGCAGCTGGAAACAGAGCAAGCCTGCCAACAAGATAACCACCCCTACACCGAGAAGCGCTCAGCCCCGAGGCTGGCAACCGAAATGCGCTCTGGCAGCGCGGGAACAGGAGGGACCTTACGACAGCACCTCCGGAACCCACTGGCACGCAGTCTGATAGAGAGGGGCTGGCTCGTACAGCGAGTGGGCCTGGGAGAAGGTGAATTTCTGCTCTTTCTGTGTAAAAGCTTAGAGGAGGGGAAAATACACTTTAAATATTTAAATATATTTAAATATGCCCTGCAGGTAGGTTGGCACTTTAGCACCCTGTCAATGCATTAAATAACAAAAAAAAACGACGTAAACAACAAAGCAAACCTCTTCTGTGCCTGTAGCACACGGCTGCGACAAGCACCAGCCCAAAGCGGGGGGCCAC